CAAAGCAGATGGAAGGCACAATTTTAGAAGTCTGATCTAGCAATTCCCTCCACCCTTGCTCTCCATGCCAGATTGGCCTCAGAAGAAAGAGAGGGCCTGGGGACAAAGTCTCCAGCTCTCATCTTCTGCTCCCATCAGACACAATAGGGTGTTCCTTGTAAGCTAAACAGTTATTGGGCACTTGGTGTATATAAAATCCCTCATCTCTTATTTTTACCATCATCCTCACGTATATGTGTGTGTGTTTGTATATGTGGGAACGTGGTGGCTCCATAAGATAAGCATTGGACTGAGAACTACAAGGTCTGGGATTCAAGCCCACTAACTGCTCCATGGGAGAAATATGAGTCTTTCTGCTCCTGCAAATATTTTAAAAGCCTCAGAAACTCTATGCAGGTCACTATGAGTCAGAACCGGCTCGACAACACCCAACAACAGCAACAACGTGTGTGTGTGTGTGTGTGTATCTCTCTCTCTCTCTCTCTCTCTCTCTCTCTCTCTATATATATATATATATATATATATATATATATATATATATAAATTATTATCCTCTTTGTAGATATAAGCTGACTGAGGCCCTTACACAGCTACTAAGTCATGAAGCTGGAATTCAAACCCACACTCTTTCCACTCCTCTCCGTTCTGCTCCCTATGCCCGGTGGGAAATGAACAGAGGAAGGAAGGGACAGGCTCTGACGCAGATGTAGAAGGACAGGTTCCTCAGGGTCTCAGCCTTATTCCCAAGGGCCTCTCCTGCTTCTCTTGGCTCATGCTGCCTTTCCCCCCATTCAGGATCCTCCAAGCAGGCCTGGAAGTGGAACGTCTCGCCCTCAGGAATTTCTTCCATCACTTCCATTCCAAGCGAGGCATGTGGAACCGCCACCAGATGAGGACACCATAATTCTGAGGGGTGGCCCACTGGACCAACTACTTCCTGCTCCTTGACTGGCAGTTGCTCTTCCAGGGCCCCTGCTCCCTGCTGGAAAAGGGCAGCGGAAGGGGCAGAAGCAAAGGCTGGGCCCTGTGAGGCCTCAGAGATAAACCCCCACTCCACCGGGGCTGTCCCCGCACTCAGAGGTGGCAAGGCCCCCCTCTCCATCCTGGGGCCTCCAGAAGGGAAGACTTGGGGAGAGGGTCAGGAGGGTCTGCTCACAGTTGGCAGAGATGGAACCACCTCTGAGAAGGACAGGGCAATGAGGCCAAGAAAGGAAAGACCGCCTAAGCAATACCATCTTCATCCATGAAGGTGCATTCTAGCACCCACCCAGAACTCCTCACAAGGAGTATGAACCATGAACTAGAAACTTCTTTGGGACATCATTTATTGGGGTTTTATTTTTTTAACAGAAAACCAAAACTGTAACTGTTCAGTCCTTTGCAGACCTAGCATTGACTGTGAGAGAGGGATGAAGTTGTACATCTAGACTAAGTTCCCACTTGCATACCTCAGACCCACTCCTGTGTAGTTTACGTCCAGTCCCTTGGTCCTGACCCTAACAGTTGATTTGTAACCAGAGGGGCTGGTCCCATGGGGAACAATTCTCAGTTCCACCCCATACTTGTGCCTTCCAGAGATGCACACACCTCTCTCAGGTCACCAGTGCAAGGTGGCCATCAGCTAGGGCGTTAACCTTAGCCTCCAGCCTAACCAGAAGCACAGAACTAACGTCATCTTGCTAGTGCAGCAGCGGAGTTGGGAGATAAGAACTGGTGGGCAGTGGACTCTTCACCCACCAGTGTTTGGCATCCAGGCTGTGTGTGTGGAATGGACAAGGTGAAGAAGGCAAGGAAGTGAAGTTCCTCTCCCTTCTCAGCTCACCTGTAAAATACAGCCTCTGGAGAGAAGATGAAGAAGAGAGGAGCACAGATGTGGGAATGATCTATCTGTGGACTTTCCTTAGATGAGAAGAAGGAGCGAGGCAGTCAGGGAAGGATAGAAAGAAGTCCACACAGCCCAACACTTTTATGAACTTGCCTTCCTGCAGGAGAACTCCAGCCACCTAGCAGGGCTTATGTTGAGAGGAACGTACTGGATGTACCTTGGGTGGAAGGAGAGGGATGTGTTTGGGTGAAACCCTGAACCATGAAGCAGGGTAGGGTAGGGTAGGGTAGGGTAGGGGCAGGATGAGAGGGTTTGGGCATCATCTCCTAGTGGAAGGGAGCAGGCGGGAGGGGGGGTTGCTGGGGGGTGGAGGGGAATGGGGCAGGAGGACATGAAAAGTGAAGCAGTTTCAGGGAAAACAGTCCTTGACCTTTGTTGTCTACTGCTACCGTTCCCCTACCTGATGATCCCGCAATTATCTTGCACTAACAATCCCCAGGTGCCTTTATGGCTGGGGATTTTTCTATTGCTGCTGCTGCCTCCCCTGCTGCTGCTGAATTCACCAATGGTGCATTGGATACTGGAACTTGAACTCCAGTGTCTGTTTAGGGAGGCGAGTGCAGGGCATCTGTGCTGTGAGGAAGGACTGTGAGGTGCAACAGGGCCCAGCTTGGGCCACTCAGTTGAGCCCAAGCTCATGCTGTTACAGAAACCAAACCACAGCGTTTGGAGTCGAAAGGTCTACCTAGTAGGCTCTTCATTCACCAAGAGCATAAGCTTAGTATAAGGGGACAGGGAGCCAGTTGAGAACTTTCTGTAGGATGGGCAGAATCCCTGCCTCCTAAGGAATCAGAAAGGACAGAGTCTTTTAAATTAAAACAGTTGTAGCTGATGGATGCTATACAAGCTCCCTGGGCCTTGGCTTTTTATGGTCCCTGCTCAGGCCTGCTACCTTCTAGAAAGAGCTCATAGGGAGGAGGTCAGGGCTGCAGTTGGCCATGGGGAGCCCAGGTTTCCTTCTGGAACCACTCTCATCCTTGGACATTGCATTGGCAAGCTTGCAACAGCCCAAATAGCTTCCTGGCTTCATTTCACCTTTTGATGAGCCAACCCAGCCTTTGTCCTGTCCAACCACCACCCCTCTGTCCCTGGGCCAGTGCCTTGTGTTTGATGTTTGTTACCTCCACACCATTTGCCTTAAGGGGAAGGGCCTGACATGGCCCTCACTCTGAGGGAAATGTCTTGGATTGGGGTGGGAAGGGGATGGTGAGAGGGAAAGTTAAATACAGCATCTTTTTAGGTGAAAAAATAAATGGCTCTTGAGTTGTTGTGTTGTTTTTTTTGTTGTTGTTATCTTTCCATGGTGGGAGAGGTCACAGAAATCACATCTCTGCCTCTCAGCTGTCAGGCGCATGATGGACATGCCAAGTCCCCTCCCATGCCACCCTTTACCACTGTTGTTTGGGACCCACCTTCTATGAGCAATGGGTTACTCAGGGACCACATTATTCCTGTGTGAGGAGCTCATAGTGAAATAGGAGAGGAGACATTTTCTGTTTCAGTGTGTTAGTCGAGCTTGGTAGTTTCAGTTGAGAAAGGATTCATGTACCCTGGGTGAAGGCTAGATGAGAATGCAGTGGACAAGAGCCAAGGTGTGACTTATTCTAAAGTAGACAATTGAATAGTCTTTTCTGTTTGATCTGGGCCTGCCCTGGGATGTTTTACAGGTACAAACTTACCTTCCTGGTTATTTTAGTTGAGGCAAAGATCACAGTTAGTTTGCATTCCTTAGACACATGTTTAAGAGAAAGTGTCAGTGTGAAAGCTAGAGTAGGTTCACAGTAGATTCTCAGGAAAGATTGTGTCTGTGTGCATCAATCCAGAACAGACTCATCTGGAGTTGATGCAGCAGATATGAGCCAAAGGCATGTGGTTCCAACCAAGCTGAATCCAAGCAGGATCCACAGGAGAGGGAGTGATTTGAAAGCTTGGAGTTTGTTCCCTTTTCCAGGATATGGATGAGGAGGGCATTCAGACACCAACCCAATGGTTGGGTCTTCACTACTGAAGACAGACTGACTCAGTGGATTCGCTGAAACATTTATAGATAGTATTCCATTTTACAGAGAGGAAAAGTCAGACCTGGAGCAGAGGGTAGGGATGGGGTGGAATCAGAACCACTATTCTTAAGCTGGGAGGACTCAATTCTTCTCATTTGTCTCATGCTCATGAGATGCTACCAGGGAGAAAGGTTAGCAGGATCCCAGTCTGAACTCAGGACTCCACATCAAGATGGAATTCACTTAGCCCAGCAAAGTGTCACATCTTAATTCAGGTGCTTGTGGGAAGGGCGCAAAGGCATCTACATTGTCCTTTTAGGACCTTTCCCAAGGACTGTGGAAAGTGCCTAGTAGCCTGGGCGATCAGGTAGGAAGAAGGCAGAAGCAGTTCTAGACTGGGTACCTGTAGGGGAAACAAGAGACAATGAGAGGTCAGCCTCAGCCCCAATGCTCTTCATACTTCAATGTGCACACGATTCACCTGGCAATCTTGTGAACATGCAGATTTAGCTCAGTAGGTCTGGAGTGGTGCCTGAGATTCTGCATTTTCAGCAGCCTCCCAGGTGATGTTTGTTACTGGTTCAGAGAACACAATTTGAGTAGCAAGTATGCTGTACAAAGCCAAGGAAGGACTCCACATTTCCATCTTTCCTCTTTCCAGAATACACAGCCAACCTCTCTACCCAGGCTATAGAAAAACCCAAATCTAGGAAGTGAAAGAGCTTTGGTAGCATAGTGGTAATGAGTCGGACTGCTAACCTCGGTGTCAGCAATTCAAAACTACAATTCGTCAGGAGAACGATAAGGTTTTCTGCTCCCATAAAGATTTACAGCCTTGGAAACCCTATGCAGGGTGGCTGTGAGTTGGAACCAACTCCATAGCATATAATACCACCACCAAGAAGGGGATTCAACCATTTTTTGAGCACAAGGGGCTTTGGGACAGGCTTTTCTGAGTCTCAACCCAAGTCCTTTCTCCAAGATCCCCTCCTTGTGTCTTATATCTATAGTTAGACCTTTTGCATGACAAGGGATTTCTCATACCCCAACCTCCCTGAGGTGAGAGAAAAGCCACCTGGGGAGCCCTTTGACCAAGGACTCCTATCCTTTCCCTCACCTGGGCCCCAGACTTTGTTCAGAAAGGATTTCTTGAGGTCCTGGCAGCCAGGAACCCTGTCTTATGTGTCCCGAAGGCTGTAATGAAAATGTTGATGACAACAGTGATGAACACCAGGGTGGTGGTAGCATTGTTGAGCTGGTTTAATTGCCACTGCTTTTCTACCTCGTTCAGGTTCAGCCGTGCTGTGGAAAAGTGGGAGATAAATGTCAGGGTGGGGGCCTTAGCCAGAAGTTTGCCTCACAACATCCACTGGAGAAAGTCTGGTACCTCAGAGATCCAGAAATCAAGGGAGATTGGAGTCATGGGGCTGAGATGCCTTTTGCTCTTACTGAGCATCCACACAGTGCTTACCAGGATCTGGATTTGGTTCTTCTATGAGTGGGAATAAATGCTCAAAAAATAGGCTCTGAGGAACGTGGGCTCAGGTTAGTGAGGGCAGTCATTCAGCAGGTGATCATGGGTGTCCACACTATGGGCTCCAGGAGATAGGATGGTATGCCTTCTCTCACTGTATAGGAGTTATCTTTGGGGCATGTGTGGATGCAAAGGGCTAAAGCAAGCTTGGTGTTAGTCACATTGAGTTGACTCTGACTCATGGTGGCCCCGAGTGGGCAGAGTAAAACTGCTCCAGGGTTTTCTAGGCTGTAACTTTCAGAAAATTACTAGTCTTTCTTCTGATCTACCTTTGAATGAGTTCAACGTGCCAGCCTTTTGATTAGTAATTGTTTGCACTACCCAGCGACTTCTAATACAAGGGAGGTACTTGGGCCTTCTCTTCCCACCAGGGGGCACTGAAATGGAAAGTCTGACACCCAGCTCCACCTCCAGCCCCAGCCCCAGGCCTGGGTTCCTCACCAATGACCACCAAGAGGATTCCGATGACCACCTGCAGAAGCAGGGAGATGCTGATGAGAGTGATGAGGGTGGTATAGTAATAAGAGGATGGCCCTTGCTCCAGCACTGCTTTCAGCCGCGTGGCATTGGACATAAAGAGGGCCACATCCAGCATGCTCTCTGCCACACTCTTCTTGGTGGCATAATGGTTCAAGTTGATGGGCTGGCTCCTCCTGGAGTTGGAGTTCCCAGGCTGCCAGAGAGAAAGCACAGGCTTATCCGGGAGACTCCAAGAAGCAGTAGAAAGAATAGAGAGAGCTTCTTGTTGTTGTTTAACGTTGTCGAGTTGGTTCTGACTCATAGCGACCCCAAACCCAACAGAAAGAAACACTCACTGGTCCTGGACCATCTTCACAATTGTTTTACATTTGAACCCATTGTTGCAGCCACTGTGTCAATCTGATCTCTCTGAGGGACTTCCTCTTTTCACAGACCCTTCACTTTACTAGGGCTTTTAAATTTTCTGTTTTAAAATTTAAAATTTTTAGCTCCCCGCAAACCAAGTGGGAGTAACTCCCTTCTCAATTATGTAGTATGAAAACAAAAAAGCGTTGGGCTGTTGCTGTCTTGTTGTTAAGTAGGTGCTGACTCGTAGCAACCTTGTATAGGATTCCGAGGAGCGGCTTGTGAGTTTGAAACTCCAACCTTGTGGTTTAATTGAACTTGAGGTAGAGAGTTGATCCTACAGCCACCAGTTGGCTAGAGAATCTTTGAGGAACTTAGAGCTCTGAAATAATACGATGTTGTAATTTCTTGGAAGATCAGCCCTTCCCTTACACTTTCACACAATCATCTGAAGAAAGGGGAAGGATCATCCTTGGCTGCTTGAAAATGTATCCTCAACCATTTATTCACTATTTGTCCTGGATCAGGCATCAGCACAAGCTTGCTCTCTCTGAAAGAAAGTCACCTGAGAACTCAGTAGGAGTTCTGAGACTTAGGTAGCCACACATACTTCTCTAAGTATGACATGCCCCAGGGTAGATGCAAAGTTTAGCAAATGGAGCATGTCATCCTAGGAGAAGAAGTATGCTGCATTTTGACCCCCCTTCCCTTCCCTCCGTTTGTACCCTCGCTGTGCCAGCTCAGGTGCACTCAGGCTGTTACACCCACAAACACAAGCTGTCTCAACTCATTCATGGATGGATGTCTATATACACACAATGATGTATATTAGACAAAGGTCCTGAATTTTTTTTTCATTTCCTTGGCTAGAATTTATTGAAGTATAATTTCCTTTTGACTTGATTTTAAGGCATATGATAAGCACTGGACTGGACTGTGAACCATGGTTGGAGCCCACCAGCCGTTCCATGGGAGAAAGATGAGGCTTTCTGCTCCTGCAAAGATTTATAGCCTTGGAAACCCATACTGGGTCGCTAGGAGTCAGAGCTGACTCAACAACACTTAACAACAACAACAAGCTAGTCTCAAAAACCCACTAACTTCAAAGTAGGCTCACAATACAGGGCACGTGGTATCAGCTTCTGGGTTAGGCCAAGAAGTTCAGACTAGACTGCAAGCAGTCTGCAGTCACTCAACATTACTTGGGTCAGTTTTAGGGAGATTAATAATGGTGCTTGTGATGATTTGGTCCAGGAAGAACTATAACAGAGAGACCCAAAAGTTACGGTCTTGATCTCCAAGAGGTGGGCTTGCCCTGTAGACAAAGCCCATAAGAAAGGCCCTTCTGGGTGCAAGGAGCTCAGCTGGAAGTAACTGTGAGGTGTAACTTTACAATGAAGATGGCAGACTTCTAGAAATGCACTTGACCCCACGTATCTGCTCCAAGGAGAAACCTGCAGACATATTTTCAGCTCTTGCTAAGTAACTCTTTATTTGCACTCAGTACATTTGGGAAAGTCTGCCACAAAACTAAGACCACAGAATAACAGAGGAAAAGACAGCACTGAACAGCAAGAAAATTCATCCCACGCACTTTTAAAAGAATTTAAGTGAAACAGTAAAAAGGTTGAAGATTAACAAAAAAAAAACAGATTGTTGTTAAGTGCCATCAAGTCTATTCTGACCCATAGCTACTCTGTATAGAGTTTCCAAGGAGCAACTGGTGAACTTGAACTGCCAACCTTGCGGTTCAAACTGACTTTGCAGTTCAGAGCATTAACCCACAGTGCCACACCAGGACTCCAAATAAACAGAGCATTAAAAAAAAAAACCCACACACAAACGTTATGGTCTTGTTTGAATGTCAAGGTGACAAGGATCTGAAGCAGGGTAGTAGTGAGAAAGCAGAGGACTTTGAAAGATGGACAGCTCAGAAGTAGGGATGCTAACCTCACAGTTACCATGATGGGATGGAGATCTGTTGGATGGATGAGTGCATGGATGGATGACACAGGTCTCACAGGGTTCTGTTTCTGGTGTTCAGTGTGACCCCAGCAAGTCACACTGGGGAAAGGAGAAAGGATAATCTGACCAGGACCTGGACTCTAAAAGCCCTTAACCTAAATCCAACTGCTATCAGTGGATTCCAACTTAGGTTTCTTAGATTGTAAATTTTTATGGGTGCAGACAGCCTCTTCTTTCTCCTATGGAGCAGCTGGTGGTTTTGAACCACCAACCTTGGCCTTAGCAGTCCAACACCTAACCCACAGTGCCACCAGGACTACTGAAGAGGTCTCCAAATGCAGTGGTCTCCAAACTTTCTTAATTGTTGTTGTTAAGTGCCGTTAAGTTGGTTCTCACTCATAACGACCCTGTATAGTGTTTCTGAGGAGCCACTGGTGAGTTTGAACCGTCGACCTTATGGTTCAAACAGAACTTGTTGTTTTTATCCTATGGCATCACACCAGGACTCAAACTTAAATAGTGCACTAAAACATATTTTGACCATGCAGCTCTAAAACATATATATGATCTCATAAATTGTAGGCATACCCAATAGAATACTTACTGGTGAAGTTCAAAGACCACAGCCTTCAATATGGTTGTACCTCAATGTAAAGAAAACAAAAACCCCAAAACACCCTCACCACTGGACCAATAAACAACACCAAGATAAACGGAGAAAAGATTGAGGTTGTCCAAGATTTCATTTTGTTTGGATCAACCATCAACACTCAAGCAATAGTCAAGAAATCAAATGATGTATTGCATTAGGAAAATTTGCTGCATGTGACCTTTTTCAAGAACAAAAACATCAGTTTGAGGACTAAGGTACACTTGACCCAAGCCATGGTAATTTCAATAACATCATATGCATGTGAAAATTGGTTGGTTTCCTGAAGTAAACAGCAGTTGCCAACCAAGAAAAAGTTCAAAAGTTAGCCATCAGCTGGAAAATTGATGCTTACAGTTTTCTGGGATTCTCAAGGGCCAATATTAGAACACTATCAGTAAAAAGGTTCAACAATCAACAGTGCTCATTTTAGTGAGATGCTCACTGAAGAGCTGAAGCCTAAACTTTGGATTAAACACAGAGGACTGCTATCCAAAGGCATTGTGATCTTGCATGACAATACACATCCACACACCTCTGCCCACACATTGACACCCTGCAAAAACTTTGTTTTGAGCTGTTAAAGCATCCTCCCTATAGTCCTGCTCTTGCTCCTGTTTGTGCCCCTGAAAGCAGCACTGCAAGGATGAAGATTAACCTCTGATGAAGAGCTGAAGACAGTGATGCATTCATGGCTTGCAGCTCAGCCTAAAACAGTTTGTAATAAGGGACTACAAAAGCTTGTTGACAGATGGAATTACAAGGAGATTGTATTGACAAGCAAGGAGATTATGTTTAAAAAATTGATTAAAATAAATTCTACAACCAGAGTGCAGATATTTTTTGACTCACCCTCATATTTTCTTTTTTTT